ATGAGAAAGAGACACACATGAGACACAGAGAGACACAGAGACACATGACACACAGAGACACAGAGACACACACATAAGACACACATGAAACACAGAGAGATACACACATGAGAAAGAGACACACATGAGACACAGAGAGACAAAGAGAAACACGACACACAGAGACACACAAGACACAGAGAGACAAAGAGACACATGAGACACAGAAACACACATGAGACACACAAGACAGAGAGACACATGAGACACAAAGAGACACATGAGACAGATACACATGAGACACAGAGAGACACGAGACACATGTGAGAAACAGAGAGACACACATGAGACAGAGACACATGAGACACACATGAAAGAGAGACACAGAGAAACACGAGACACACATGAGACACAGAGACACATAAGCCACACACGAGACACAGAGACACATGAGACACACATGAGACAGAGACACATGTGACACACATGAAAGAGAGACACAGAGAGACACATGAGACACACATGAAACAGAGACACATGCGACACACATGAAAGAGAGACACAGAGAGACACATGAGACACAGACACACATGAGCCACACACAAGACACAGAGAGACACATGAGACACACATGAGACAGAGACACATGAGACACACATGAAAGAGAGACACAGAGACACGTGAGACACAGAGAGACACATGAGACACACGTGAGAAACAGAGACACACATGAGACACACACACGAGACAGAGACACAGACACATGAGACACAGAGACACATGAGCCACACACGAGACACAGAGAGACACATGAGACACACATGAGACAGAGACACACATGAGCCACACATGAGACAGAGACACATGAGACAGAGAGACACATGAGACACACATGAGAAACAGAGAGACACACATGAGAAACAGACACACGAGACACACGTGAGACAGAGACACACATGAGACACAGACACACATGACACAGAGACACACATGAGACACAGAGAGACACATGAGACACAGAGACACACACGAGACAGAGACACACGAGACACACATGAGACACACATGAGACAGAGAGACACAGAGAAACACATGAAACACACATGAGACACAGAGAGACACGAGATACACATGAGACAGAGACACACACAGGACAGAGAGACACAGACACACATGACACAGAGAGACAGAGACACACATGAGACACAGACACATGAGACAGAGAGACACAGAGAAACACATGAGACGCACATGAGACACAGAGAGACACGAGATACACATGACACAGAGAGACAGAGACACACATGACACAGAGAGACAGAGACACACATGACACAGAGACAGAGACACACATGAGACAAAGACACATGAGACAGAGAGACACAGAGAAACACATGAGACGCACATGAGACACAGAGAGACACGAGATACACATGACACAGAGAGACAGAGACACACATGACACAGAGACAGAGACACACATGAGACAAAGACACATGAGACAGAGAGACACAGAGAAACACATGAGACGCACATGAGACACAGAGAGACACGAGATACACATGAGACAGAGACACAGAGAGACACAGACACACATGACACAGAGAGACAGAGACACACATGAGACACAGACACATGAGACAGAGAGACACACGAGATACACACGAGACAGAGAGACACAGACACAAAGAGATGCACATGAGACACAGAGACACACATGAGACACAGAGACACACACGAGACAGAGACACACATGAGACACAGAGACACACAGAGAAACACATGAGACACACATGAGACACAGAGACACACGAGATACACATGAGACACAGAGAGACACACGAGACACACAGAGACACACATGAGACACAGAGACACACAGAGACATACATGAGACACAGAGAGACACATTAAACACTATGATGATCATCTTCAAACTCAGGATTTCTGCAGTTATTAAAATCAAATTTAAGACCTGCACAAATAAATAAATCAGGTCAAATAAATCAAAATAAATCAAGTATAGTTTTACGTCATTAAACAGACCGTGTTTCACATTCAACTGCAAAACAGGCTAAAATACTCAATATTCATTCAATATTTACATATGTATTTAAATTGTTTCATGTACTAATGTATTAATACATATTAATTAGAGGATGATTGATAATGGATTTTTCTGATACAATGATATGCGCCGATACTAGTTAAATCTCTATATTTAAATGTGTTAAATAATGGTCTTAGTCTTCCTCTACATCAAATTAAACGTCAAATACAGTTTATTGTGTGACCAAAATGCCAATAATAGCCAAAAAAAAGATGAAATGTATAATGGGGGGCTTTTAATTATAAACTATAAGTCCTAAATACACCAGGACTGTTATTTTAAAACGTCTGCACTTTACTTACTTATTGTACAATATAAACACCATGAAGTAAACACTGTCATAATTCATCAACAGTCGATCATAAGCAATTGTTTAGTCATAAATGTGCAGCATTCATAAATTGTGAACGGCTCTGAAACGACAATCCTGCAGAATGTTCAACAGTGCCACGTTTTGACTTCACACATGCAGCGCTCACATTTATTTAATTCATTGCCTTTTAAAGATTAATAATCCCATTAAGCCATTTCACACGTCCTGTTCTTCCAGCCCAAAATTTAAGACCTCTTAAAATGATAATAAGACTTTTGTTCCATTTAAGATATTTAAAGTCATTCATACGAGGACACATGAACTTAAAAAATTAATGGTGTGCATGGATAAATCTTAAAATAGACACTGCAATATGCCATAAAAAATACAAATTGTCCATTTTGATTTTATGGTGACTTTTATGGCCTTACATTTGATAAAACACAATTTATTTTGAAGGACCCGCTTAACCCTGTAAATAACACTTAGTCCTTACTCAACATGATCGATATGAATATGATCAATATGCATTGACAGGATTGATGACGGACACAGACTCTCTCGATCACACAGCTGAGGAAGTCATGTCTGCTCACCTTCCAGCACCTGGTGGTCATTGAGTGCGGGGTACGGCAGCTCGCCCAGACTGAACACCTCCCACATCAGCACCCCGAACGCCCAGACGTCTGCCTTACTGCAGAACTCTCCCTCAAACACACTCTCAGCCGGCAGCCAGCGCAGCGGGATCCACACCTGCCTGTGCTGATAGTACTCGCTGAACACACAGAGACAGAGACAGAGACACAGACAGAGAGAGAGAGACACACACACACACATCAGCACATGTGACTGAGCTTCATCAACACTAGATGGCGCTCTGCACACATGTGAACACTGGCAGCAGATCTCAGCTCTTTAATGATCATCAAATGGACTGAAGGAGCTGATACCTGTTATAGACGTCTTTACTCAGACTGAGCGCAGACACCTTCACGTGTCTCTGTCCGCTGATCAGACAGTTCCTGGCCGCCAGGTCTTTATGCACAAAACCCCTGTTTGATAAATGCTGCATCCCATGAGCCACCTGAGCACAGATAGAGACCTGCGGAGCACCGTGAACATCAACACAGAGTCACACGAGTTATTAAACACACAAACCACCTCAGGGACACAGCAACAGGTAAAATAATAATGAATGGTCACAGGAAGAACTTGCTTTAGTTCTAGTGCTGATGGGATGCGGCTTGAGTTTCTCATCGCTGCTTTTTGATATTCTGAGGAACTGTTTGAGATCACCCTGAAAAACACGAGAAAAGCACTCACATCAGCATTAACAAACAGAAAATCATCATACGTAGGTGCATCAGATAAAAGTTTAATACAGACATGAAAAACTGGATAAATCCTGAGGAAGTTCGATTGACCGCAATGTTGCTTATAAAGACAATAAAGTAAAATATTGTGATGCAAGCTTAATCTTAATGTTCTGGTCATTTTGACCCAGAGAGGATTTTATTGTTCCTGAAAATGCTAGTCAATTTTAAAGCATTGGACTAAAACTTACGGACTTATAATTTTTTTACTTTTGGGGCATTTTTTCCCCACTTTGTTAGGCTCAAAAATGACCGGCCTACAAAAACTAATTATAAATGTCGCATTATTCTATAATTCTATAATATCACATATAGTATCACTATACTCTCATTCCGGCGTAATAATCAAGCAGCTTTGCTGCCATAGCATGGGTGCAGCAGGAGCAATGATATTACGCAG